CCCCAAAACCCCAAAACCCCAAAACCCCAAAACCCCAAACGGTTTTTAATCTTGATATATAATTTTAACCTATCTCTTTGCCCAATATGCAGCTACGGAAACCTCGCCAGACTTTCAAGTATCCCATGCCTTATCTTCTAGGTCAGACACGATCAATGATGACAGGACTTTGTACAAGATCCAGCATAGCTTGTAAGCAGCCTTTGCAGCAAAATTTTGTCTAAATTTACTCCTCATTTCTTCAATTTTCTGCATTTTATACAGCATTTGGTTTGACCTGAGGATCTTGTAGGGAAGAAATAAAGATTCAGATGAGAGAGTTAAACAAAGAAGTAGAGCAGGATAGGAAAGCTAGTAATAAAGTGGATATTAAGCTAAAACCAAATGATATTAACAAGATGCTAACCACAGGTCGTGATCCAGAACTTATGGAGATGAGGCTGGGTTTTAATCCATTGAAAGAGAATGAAGAAATGACGAATAGTAAGATTTAGACTCGGAATAGGGAGTTTTAGAGGGTTTTATTGCCTTTGGGATTGGGTTTTGGTATGCTAAGGTTTTTATATTTTTAGAATTTGATAATTTTGAGTTTAGTTTCAAGTCTTGTTTTAGTTTAATTTTATGAAGCTAATTCATGATGTAGGAAGGAAATCTAAATTGTTTTGGAATAATGTTACCAAAGGAAATTTTGCAGTGAAAGATTATTTAAAGGTTAGACAAAGCAACTTAATTCTCATAGATTAAAAACCCAAATGCTAAATAGCAAATCGAAATTCCAAGACTTTATTAAAAGAGGATCTAGGTATGTTCAATTTTCAAAAGAATCAACCAAAACTCTCAGTCATTTTCCCAACAGGAAAACAAAAGGGAGAAGTCCTATAAACCTCTTTGATCGGAATAAATCAGTTTCAAAGGTGAAGGATTTTATGTGTAAGTAGAGTAATCCAAGTTGTAAAATTCTTACCAAATCTAGCCCCAAAAGTCTCAAGCTCAGGCTTAAACATCTTCATTAAACCAAAGGGGTCTTCACAAGGAAGTGACAATGGGGCCAGAGACTCTAGAAGCAAAAACACAAATAAAAGAAAAACTCTTGGAATAGATTTTGGGCTTGGAATTAATAACAAAATCTCATCAGCCCCACAAATAGGCCAAGATGATGACAGAATAGAAGACAAGTATCTGATTAGTATTACAATGTATAGTCTTCGCAGACCTGTGTATAATGTTAGAGGAAGACTTAAGGATGATCACGTACAGATACCTATCCCGAGTAAAAAGATCAGCGATTATCAGAGAATGAGCAAAAAGGCAATTCCAAGGTAGTCCATGTGGCTTATCTGTAGCATTAAGAATTGCCAGAGAATATCTTCCTTTTCATCACAGGACTTCACTCATTCTCCATCGATCAACCACCAAAACAGTAAGGATGAAACCAAGATTTATAGGTAATGATTATTTGGAAGTAGGAACCCCTCGAGTAGAAGATGAGTCGTATAGCTCTGAGAACCTTCATGAAGATCTTTTCAACAAGATGGCAGGCAACAGCCATAAGATTCGAAAGTATATCCGTCGAAAAGTAAACTTCATAACTTAATTTCTAGTCCTGAGAGTGTACAGCTTGTGGAGGACCTGATATGAAAAAGAAGTTAGGGCATCAGATCGTCTTTGAAAATGAATATATGCAAAAGGATAGCAAGAATGGAGAAGGGTTCAAGGATCTCCTCCCCCAAATTGAGGGTAAGCTTGTTCTTAATCCTCTTAGAAATCAAATCTATAGATATATCAAATTCCCAAAACCTAGAAAGCGTGAGCGTGTCAAACCAATACAATATAAAAGTTGACAAGTATTCTTCTGAGTCATCTGAAGGTATTTTTATGAATTATTCTAGAAAGTAAAAGTGACGTAAAAGATCCAATGTGTCTTCAAGCCTCGCCTGAATTAGACAAAGAAGATGGTAGAAGATTATCAGGAAGAGGCATGAACTTTTTCAAAACAGTATTTGAGCAACATCATCAAAGAAATAAAATTCAACGGTTAGCAACTGTAGTGAAGGTACAGCATTCATTAATACTCTCAGATTGCTGAAAAGCATCAAGGAAAGCAAGCAAAGAAAAATAATGATTTTATTAAGAAACTCAAAGAAGAAATCAAGAACACCAGAGTTGCTGAGAAAGAAATGAAAGAACCTTCCAGGGGCTGATCTGATTCGCAAAAATCATTCTTATTTGAAGAATTTAGTAAGAACTTTTACTTTTTCCAGAATTTCCTGCTACAAATATTTCAAATAATCGACCCTAATGATTTGCTAGGTAACAATAAAATAAGTATGATACCACGAGTGAACTCTATGGGGCTAACTAATAAAATAACTCCACAGAGCCTACAGATGTCCAGAAGAGCAAGCTGGAATCCTGGTGTTAGGAATGATTTCAATATCAGAATCAACACTTTCAATGAAGCTACCAACAAATTGCCAAGCCGCTTAGATACTTTCAGTAGTAAGATAAAGGAGATGGAAGGTAAGAATACTTCGAACTTTAAGTATCATAAATTAAGATCAGTACTAACTCACTTACAGACTCCATTATATCTGACGATATCAGCAGTTCGGACTCTAATGAAGGTACTAAGCTCTTGCTCATAAATAGGGACTGAAACATTGAACATTCTTACACCAACAAGTGACAATCAAACAGAGAAGATAACACAAAAATCTGGTTTGCATAAATCAACTGAGAAACTACAAAAAAATAAGAAAGGGCATGAAAAATCTAACATTTTTGACATCAATATGAGAAAGGTAATAATTTGATTAATCTTCAGAGGAAAAATGATAAACTTAAAGACCTTTGTGATTCAAAGCCAAAGTACCTCCCTACGATGTCCAAGGTGAAGCGAGTTCATAAGTCGCATACTTCTTTGAAAAGTAAGAGATCAAAGTACCTAAACTTCCCCAAAATGGCAGAGAGTCCTTTCACTAAGAAGAATAATAGAGAAAGGAATTAGTTCTAAATTCAAGGCTTTGATTAGTATAAGCAGATTTTATCTCTAGCTTCTTCAGTCAGGAATAATCAGAAAACTGCTCCAATAGGGTCAAAGAGAAGTCATATTACATTGTGCAAAAGAATGAAGCCAAATCCTTATACAAAGTAATAAAATTATAACGATTTCTAGATCAGATAAAAAGAAAAATGGAGAACTTTCTGTACATAAAATACTCATAATTTAGAGTCGCCTTGGATCTCCACTCAGGTCACCTACAGAAATCTCATCTCCAATATTTACAAAGCAAGACCTCCTTCTCAGGAAGCGGAAGATGATGGATTACTCAAAATTCCAAAGAAGGGAGTTACAAAGTCCCAAAAGAATAATCAGATCATCAAGAATATTCTCCTCTCCGTCTCTTCTACTTAGAAACAGAGTCCAGCAGAATTCATTCCTGAATGGGGAGAAGTATAAAACATTGAGCAAAGGAATACACAAGGCATATAAATAAACTCAACTATGCCGTCTCTTAATGGGGTTTTGGGGTTTTGGGGTTTTGGGGG